TTTAAACACAAAATAATTTTAAGATCTCTAAAATGGCAACACAATTGATACAAAGTTCAAAATCAATGTAGTTACCTTACATACAATATTAGGCAGGTACTTTTCTTTTTATTGTGACATAATTGATATCCATTTCTTTCTTGATACAACATTTTTATCATTAGAAGATTGTCACAATACAATCGATTACAACAGTTGCCAATTTGAAGAAAACTAATCAATTCAGCCTTTAAAGGGCAAGTCCATTCCAAAAATAACTTACTTTCAATAAAAGCAGAAAAATCAGACAAACCAATCAAAAAAAGTTTGAGCAAAATCGGATACCTAATAAGAAAGTTATGAATTTTAGAAAAAGTATGTAAAACTATGGAACAATTAGAATCACAACACAAATTGCCAAGATGGTTATCAGTTTGTGACGTCATGTCCTCACAACTTATCAATTGCTTTATATAGTTTAATCCCATTAATTTCCCTTTTTATCCCCCAAAACTAGATTTCTCCATGCCTTTGCCCAGGTTATATGATTTGTATCCTATTGCGTGCATGACATTTCCCAAAAACTTTTATGAATTTTGAAGAAGTGATACTATTTTCTGAATATTGTATTTCATAATTATTGATTTTTATATAAATAGTTTATCAAAATTCAACTTTTCATGATTTAACTGGACACAAATTACTCTTTACTTGTGCATCCACACAAAAACATGTTACTATCAATCTAACTTGGATGCTGGTGTGAAGAAATAATATTCTTAGGGTGAAAATAGGAAATTTATATCATCAATATACAGAAAATAATTAGTGGATAGTGAGGACCATACGTCACAGACTCATGAGTAATTTGCCAATTTTTGTAGTGATTTTCAAAGTTTTTCATGTCATTAAAAATTCATAACTTTCTTATTAGTTATCCGATTTTGTTCAGACTTTTTTGATTGGTTTGTCTGATTTTTCTGGTTCTATTGAAAGTAAGTTATATTTGGAGTGGACTTGGGCTTTAACAAATGTCCATCTTGAATGAGCCAAGTATCCTGTTGTGCAAATGATGGAATAGAAAATGTTGCCCTTGACAGAGAATAAATCCTTTGCAAACACAGATACACATGTACATGTACAGTGGTAGTACTAGAATATGTCACACACAAAAGTATATTGCTGATAAATATTCATTCTTTACACCAGAAGAATTCAAGTTGAATTCATGCTCACAGATTCTCTTGACACTGAAGTTGTACTTCTAAAGAAAATGTTCTTGGTAAGACGAAAGTGACTGAACTATTCACTCATTCTAGCACACATTATGTAGTTAACCCATTGCTTACTGGAACCTGGAGGTCTCTGCGTTAAGTCTATGGGAATTAGATAATTCAGTAGTCAACGGGTTAACATGTGACCTGATTAGAAGTTCAGTAATATCAAGACAGTCATAGTATTTACATTCTATGAAAAATGAAATAGTTCCTCCAAAGCCCCTACCCCCCCCCCAAAAAAAAAAAAAAATTGCTTTCTCAATTATCAATCAAAGATTTACTGTACATGTACAGGCATGAAGAAAAAAATCACAGATTTTAATCGGCTATACAATCAACTTTTAAATTTCTATATCATACACTAAATATCAACAATTGTCATATGAAATATACATGTATGTTTTGAACGTGTCATTTCCTCTTGACTTATACTCCATTATCTTACAGTGTTTCACACTTACATGTAATATTATTCCAATTAATTTTATTGATTGTATTTATTACATACACATACAACATGCTATTTGATTCAATCAAATCCTTCGCTGAATGAAATATCAATACATCATGAAAACTCAGTACATTTGAAACTACATTGCATGTCATACAAAATGATGGGAAGTGTAACTGAATAGGCATGCAGAAGTAGAAATAGTACAAAGTCATTGCTAAAATAAGATCATGTGGAAAATGCAGTTGGAGATACTACATGTATTTGAATACCCTGTGTTTGCTCAGTTTTGACGTATTTACAATGTACTTTCAGAGAACAAACATACACGACCAAAACTCACGTTGTTTTTCCTTCACAAATCAGGGACATGCACATGTAAGTAAGATAGAATGGGTTGTAATACACGTCATCAGACATGATTACAGAAGGGGAGAGAGAGTGAGAGAGAGAGAGAGAGAGAGAGAGAGAATGGGCGAGAGGAAGACAAGTAGAAGAATAGAGAGGATGAAGGAGAAAGAGAGCGACTTAAATGAGGGAGAGAGATAGACAGATAAACAAAGAGAGAGAGGAGGGAGAGAGAGAGAGAGGGAGACAAATAGAGAAAAAAGCAAGAAAGAAGGAGAAAAACAGTAACAATAATGAGAGAGAGAGGGAGAGGGAGAGAGAGGGAGAGAGGGAGAGAGGGAGAGAGAGAGAGTGAGTGAGAGAGAGAGAGGGAGAGAGGGAGAGAGAGAGAGAGAGAGAGAGAGAGGGGTGGGGGAAGAGTGACAGAAAAAAGGGATATACACATGTACAAATAAATGTTGGTAATGAAAATACTAGCAGATCTAAACCTTCATGTATTATTTTTATAAAGCAAATCGGGGTACATTAAAGTGTGCTTCTATTAGAGCAAATCATTTGCTTTACAAAGTTTACAATCAAGTACCAAATATCATAATCGTAACAAATTGAAAAGTTGATTTCTAGAAAAATATATAATCAAGTTAAAATTCTCTCTAAACAACACAAGAATAACAGCCGTATGATTGAGAGAAGAAAACAAAACCCTGCTAAATCAATACTTACATGTAATTTGTAAGGATGGTTCAACCACACTTAATGAGTAGGCAAGAAAATTGTAATAATTTTGCGGCCAATAACGTACAGTTATAACAATGATATTATAATGATATTCAGAATAACAAAATATGTGAAATACAACGGATCAAGGCACTCAATAAGGAAAATATATGACAACATAGTACAACGAGAAAGACAAAAATGTTCACTTTGAACCAATTACAAAGATAAAATCTATGCAACACTGATTATTCAGAATCTGAAAATACCACAACATTATTCTTCATGCTAATTTATACTATATATGAACATGTACATTTAGTTAAAGTGGTAGACACTGATTGTACGCTGATTAAGTTACAAGATTTGTTGAACAAAAGCAAGGTAAACAGTATGATAAATAATTGATGTTTGTAGCACAGTACTGCTTCTGTTATTGAATTGTGCATAGAACAGTAATATCAACCAAGTGTGAATACATGAGAAAATAACACATACAAACACCCATGTACTGCCACTGACTTTTTGTATTGCCTATTGATGAAAAATATGACAAGAAACAGGATTAAATTGTACAACAGGTTGGGATTTTCGGACAGATACACTAAATGTCCCATTTAACAAGACATAAAAGCTTCAGAATGTAATTCATACATGTAGCTAATAGAGATTCATTTAACATATTTCTAATTAACCTTTTTTGCGACTTGAAATTCTACTCAGAAGATTGGGAATAGTTAATAACCCTTTAGTATAAGTTTCATTGAATAAGAACTTCTACTGTCAAAATGATATCAAAAATTTAAAAACTTAACCTTAGGTTAAGTTTTTGATGTTGACGCCGCCACTGCAGTCGCCGTCACCGGAAAAGTGGCACATATGTCTCGCTTTTGCTATGCAGGCGAGACAAAAATGATTCTCCAAATGTACATGGAAATAATGTAGATTCGTTGTGTGAATTTACATATAATTTACCAACAAATAGAACATATCTTTCAGAATAACATCCCTCCTTTCTTTACAGGACTACCACTTTGGTTCATCCCGTGACGTAGGTGTGAAAAGAGACTCTGACATACTGTAGTCCAATATGAACTGTACAAATATCGCCATCCTCTTTTTCTTCAGTATCAAAATACACAATGTAGGTTGCCAAACATATTAATAAGATAACAGAATAATACATGTATGAAATTCTTTTACAGGCAGATATCTACAGGTACTTGGCAATAGATAATTCAAGGCAGGTTTGACATGAACATATAAATACAAAGGCACATGAATATTACAAATCCAGAATGAAAGAAAATAAGATATACATGTAGATATGCATAACTAAATTAACAGCCTCTTTTTCTTGTACTAGTATGTTCCTTTGTATATTTCTCTACAAATGATTCTGGACATCAAGGCGATACTCGTCAACGTGAGACTGACATGAATACTCTAAAATTGTTATCATCTGCAAGAAGGTTGATACTTTTCTATTGCTATGGCAACATGCTGTTCTGTTACAATGGTAACCAGTACCTCCAGATGCCCTATCCTCGTTGGCATAGAGCCTTCTGAAGTCCTTGAAGAGCACTCATCCTAATGGTTGTGCCACTGAAGAACTACTTGAGATTTCTGTTGTTTGGTTGCCATAGAAATTGGCACATGCAGATTGCAGAGGCCTATCCTCTGTGGCATATGGCTTTCTAAAGTCACTGAGGAGCATTTACCCTGCACCTTTCCCCCAAAGAGCTACTTAGACCTTCCCTGCATGATGACCATAGCTGAAGAGAGCCTTCTGAAGATCATTTACCCAAATGCATCTCCAAGAAAAATCAGACCTCTGCTGCTCCATTGCTTTAGCCACCAGCAGATCCTCAATAGGACAGAGCCTTGCAGACTCGATGAAGAAATGTCACCGAAATGCCACTTACAAAAAACTACTGTCTTTTGCTCTTAACCCATTGACTACTGAATTCATTCATTGCCATAGGCTTAATACAGGGGCCACCCAGTTCCAGTAGTCAATCGATTAAGTTACCACACTGACTAGCACAACCCCGTACCCATCCTCACGGGTGAAAAACCTTCTGAAGACATTACTTTAATACTTGAATAACTCAATGACAGACCTTTGCCCTTCAGAATGTTCAGATAATATACCGATCCTTATCGGTGCAGAGTTTTCTGAAGGTATTTAAGAGCATTTTTATGAAAGCATATTCCCCGAAGAACTATTCCCGATAACTACTTAGCCAACTTCTCTTCAGTTACATGTACCAAGGTAACCAATGCATCCAGGTGCCCATCTCCATGGTGCAATGCCTTCTGAAGACATTACTTTCATCCAAATGCCACTTCTCTGCAAAGAACTACTCTGGCTTCTGCTCTTTAGTTACCATACTAACCATCGCATCCAGGTGCCCTTCCTCATTGGCACAGAGCCCTTTGAAGACCTCACTCTTACCCAAATGCCACTTCCCCACAAGAACTACTCACTGCTGTTGCTCTTCAGTTACCAACCAACCAGCGCATCCAGACGCCCTTCCTCACTGCCACATAGCCTTCTGAAGACCTCACTTTCACCCAAAAGCCACTTTTCTGCAAAGAACTACTCAGACTTCTGCTCTTCAGCTACCACACTGACCAGCACAACCAGGCTCCCTTCCACATTGGTGAAAAGCCTTCTGAAGACATTTCTTTCATCCAAATGCCGCTTCCCCCCAAAGAACTACTCAGACTTCTGCTCTTCCATTACCATACTAACAAGAGCATCCAGGCGCCCAACCTCATTACCACAGAGCCTTCTGAAGTCGTTGAGGAGCGCCTCCCTGAAGGCATCGTCCCCGGAAGCACTGGATTTCCATTTCTTGGTGAGGAGGTGGTTGTTGACCCACAGGAAGCCTGGTCTTGAAGGAGTCTCTCGTTTCCTAGATCTCCTGGTTGAATGGCAAAGATGGCTGCCTCTGCCAACGTTGGAGTTGTTGTTACTCGATTCTGTGAAGGAAAAAAGAAGATGTTTGTTTTCTACATGCATCATCATTAATAATAATAATAATAATATTGGATATTTATATAGGGCACATCCAGTATCCACCATGCATGGTGCTCAAGGCGCTCCAACTATTACCCCGGCTCTGCTAGACAGCCGATTTCGACGCTCACAGCATTCAAAGAATTGCTTCCTACCGGTACCCATTCAACACCTGGGTGGAGAGTGGCAAATGTAGATTAATATCTTGCCAAAGGACATTAACAGACCTCCAAGGCACCTAGTAAATTCCATGCCAGATCATTACAAGTAAAGGGAAAATGTCTTCATTATATCAATGGATGGTCAACATACAGCCCCTATTTTAAGTCTAGATAGGAATCTAAGAAATCAGTAGAGAAAAGATGAAATGATCAAAACAAATGTACAGAGCATAAGTTGATGAGTACAACAGTGACTGACTGTATTTCCTTCATGTAATAGGAAATAAATATCCATGAAAGGTTTACGGTAGGTGATTACTTGCAGTAAAAATATTCATTTTTTTCAGTGGGAAGGGGTTGTTTGTTGTGTTACCACATTTTCATTTTTACCACTAATTTTGAGTAGTATGGCATTCAAATCTTCAAAGTGGCACAACGAAAAAAGTTCATAATACATGTAACATCTTAATTGTACATCTGGTAACTTCTTATCTTTTCAGGACAGTTTCTGTCCATATATTTTCTTCCCACACAAATGACCTTCAAATAGAAAAATGTGGCAAACAATTAAGGAAAAGTACCTACATGTATGTTGCCAATTCGAAGACAAAAAGCTGATCAAACAAAACCTTAAGAACATTTTTATCTTGATCAAGGATGATTCTTGAATGATCAGATATTTCATGGGGATACCAATTAGTTTGTATTTTACCTGTTTATATGCTTGTGTATTTATCTATTTTTGTTTTTGATGCTGTTATTTGTTTTTATTCTTACCAAACAGGGCCTCGTGGAAGACCACCATTTTAATATTATACACAAATCTAATTTATAAGATTTGGAAACCCACCATGTATTTTTAAAATAACTTTGTTTTAGGCTTTAGATAACGAGAGTCAGACTCGACTAGCACATGTGCTATTTTTTACTCTATTTTACCATCGATCACAAACTCATTGTAAATAGTCATTTATTGTTTTACTCTTGAAGCAAAGTTTACTTTATATTTGTCATAATGTACATGTATATCGCTGTAGAACATGTATTTTTTATAATTCATGTCATGCATTTATGTCATATTGACATTGTCATTGTACATTTATCTTTTGTTTCAATTTTTTCAATGGTGGTGAATAAATAAGTTCAATTCAATTCAATTCAAATTGGTGATATGTGCCACCCTGTATAAATATCAGAAATAAATAAATAAATAAATAATAGAGCAGACTCTCTTACCTTTCCAGGCGGAGCAGAGACAAGGCAGCATGTCAGGGCGGGGTGATGTCGTGTCAGCCTGGGTAGGGGTCGGTAGGGCAAAGGCCACGCCGGTCACATGGACGTACTGCACATGGATGCTGGTGTAGGGGGAGTCCTTAGATACCGTCCCTGGTAACGGACTCACGCAGGATGTGTGGTTGGCTAGGAAGCCAAATCTTGGGAGAACAAATATAATATATGTTTTTTTTATAAATACTGGCTAGCTTTGAGGGGAGGGGGTATGAGAATATAATGCCTGGGTACACTAAGTGTAACCCTCGAAACCTGGTTCTATGACACATGATATGGGCGTGTTTCACAAAGACTAATATCGACTTTAAGTTTGACTTAACCATGGCAGGCCGTTCATGCACTAGTTCCTCTAACCATTCCTGGCATTGGTTTCTCAAGGGACGTACACATCGTGGTCACAAATCTAAAGAATTTACCTTTTTGATCGTTCATTATTGAAGGAAAAAATATTATCTAAAGATCATAATTGAGAGACCAATGGTGGGAGCAACCAGTGGCATGAATAGCCAGCCATAGTTAATTCCAACTTAAAGTTGATCTTAGTCTTTGTGAAACACCCCCTGGTGACATTTTCTCTGTGATCAATCTCCTGTAATATTAAATTCCTAACTTCAACCCTGGACCAAAATCAATACCTCACCCTAAACCTAACCCTAAACCCCAAATAGCAACCCTATAAGCACTAACCCTATACCTTGGAAGAAATAAATCTCAGTATCTAGAAAAATGTCACAGGGCAAATGTCAGACTACCCAAGTAGGATGAAGGCAAAGGGGGGTTAGAGGGGTCAGAAACAGAAGAGATTAACACGGAAGTGGCACTGGAGGGGGGTGCGAGTACCTGTTTAGGATCAGCTCTTGCACTCTTTCTAACAGATCAGGGTCCACAGATGACCCATCTTGTAGAGCAAGGAGGATAAAGACTAGGTTACAGAGGAGGTCAAATATATCCTCCCAGAAACAGAAGAGATTAACATGGGCGAGGAATATAAAGGATTTATCTTATATAATTTGTAATTACCGGCTTACAAGCAACCTGCACCCTTACTAGTAGTTCCTGGTCCATGGTCGACCCTCATGGTATGGCAAAGGTATAAAAACAGGGCTAAACAGGGGGTCAGATATGTTGTCCCCAAAGGATAAACATAAAAGAGGCTCAGAAGGGATTGAAAGTGACCTGGGGGTGTTTCACAAAGACTAAGATCGAATTTAAGTTGTATTACATGTAATTATGGCAAGCCGTTCATGCCATTGTTTGATCTTACCATTTACTGTCATTGGTCTCAAGGGACGTATAAATTGTGGTAAAAAATCTACAAAATTTACATTTTTTGATGGTTCATTATTGAAGGAAAAAATATTATCTAAAGATCATAATTGAGAGACCAATGGTGAGAGCAACCAATGGCATGAATGGCCTGCCATAGTTAAGTTCAACTTAAAGTCGATCTTAGTCTTTGTAAAACACCCCCTAGGGCTAATCAGGAGGTCAGATATGTTCTCCCCAAAGGATAAACATAGAAAAGCCTCAGAAGGGATTAATAGTGACCGTTTTTTAGATTTACCTGTTGAGGATCAACTCCTGCACCCTTGCTAATACATCAGGTTCTATAGTAGACCCATCCAGTAGGGCAAGAGGTATGAAGACAGGACTACAGAGGGGGTCAGAGATGTCCTCCCAGAAACAGAAAGGATCAACGTGGGACGGGATGAGGTGGAAGCCTGCACTCTGGGCTCGGCGCATCCAGTTCATGATCTACAAGGACACAAGGAGAAAGAGGAATATTTGATATATTTATAATAAGTTTGTTTATTATAATGGTTTATTTGCATGATAGTTGGTATAATCGTAATGGTTTTAATAACACTTGTTTGCATATGAGTAGCAAAGCTAATACCAGGGGGGGGGGGGGGGACAAAGATCCTAAGTTGAACTTATCTCTAAGTTTTTTTAAAAGGCATAAAATGTTGATTCGAATCATTCATATTTTCTATTTATCAAAGAGATTTCATGCTCTTGTTTTGGAATTAATGAAAAGTCTAAAATACTTTTGAATATATTTTATTTTAAGGCCACAAATGACTCTCCATAACTTAGAGTTAAGTTCAACTTAGGATCTTTGGGAAACACCCCCAGCTACAATAACAGCACAGTGACAATAATAACAGTTCTGCTTTAACAATCATGTACATCTACCTAAGCATCCCTGGGGATGGATATGCACATGTGGGTACTATCATCCCAAACCTATCATAAATCTACAAAGTAATCATTATTGATATAACTTTTAGTTTTAATGCAGTGATACCTGAATGTAAACACTACTCAAGGGAGACAGTAGTGGTCTTTGTAGGCAGATGGTCTCTATGTAAATGTATACCTTCCTTTTGTATGGGAATAATTCAGAAACACTGTTAACTCTTTTCCTGCCATAATGAATACAGCCCAGTGCCACAGGGCTAATCCGCATTGTGCCAAGCCACAAATCCCCCTGTACCATGTTTATTTTGAGATAATCTGATGTTGCGATCAATAGCGCGTGCGAAGCACTTAGCACAGTACAATGAGCATGAACAATAACTGCTATTTCGAATGCGAGCATGCACGCATAAAGCAGCTAAGCTGTGGCTCGCTCGCGTGAATTAAGCAGCCAATCGATAACGCGCTCACGTGTACAAAGCACTATAACGGTAGCGTGCATGCGACCTTATGGCAGGATATCAGTTTAAAGGAGACAAAAAAGTGGTCTGTACAGACAGGTGGTCTTTCTAGACAGGCTGACTGTACCGATAAATTGCAATCTCAATGTTTACATGACACACTCACCAGGTCATTCAGAATTCCAGGCGTTGACGTCAACCACTGAAGCTCCATATCAAAGGCGTGGTCGGGCTGGTAGTTGCTATGGAAACTGGCATGGCAGTATTCCATGTGATCTAGGTCTGTATTCCACATTTCAAGAATAATGTTCTTGTAAACAGGCAGGATGCAGAGCCCTAATGACACAAAGGAGAACAAAAATTGTCGGTGAAATCCATCGAAAATAACGGGCAGAATATCTTGCACGGTGTGTGCGCTCTATAAGTTTACACTATTATTATTATTATCATTATCATTATTTATCTTTTGAAACAAGATTTGGCAATACGAGCACACATTTGATAAGTTTCAATCCAATTTCTTTACAGCTATAGTACACAAGATTAATTTTGACAACATTGCATTCATTACATAAAATACATGTAGAAGAGTATGATGATGATTGGTTGGTTTCATCATCTTTGAAGATCCGAAGATCAAATTTACAGTAATCTTGATCTAAGGAGACACGAACGAACGAACGATCATCTTTGTGAAATCTTTGTCCCTGTAAAATCCATATACGTTTATAGAATAAATTGTGGAGCCAAGATAAATTGAAAAGCCTGATTAAAATGAATTTAGGTAGTCGTATTTTCATTTCATGATTCAGACACTTGACCTACAGTGTATCCTTGCATACATTCAGGACATATATTCATCACTGTATTCATTCCTTGTTAAAGGAATAAGACTTCTCAATTTATTTAACACTACCCAAAACATTATGCTCCTTCTTTCATTAAATGAAACCAAAATTTAATACACATTACACTTCTCTCTTACATCTTAATAATAATAATAATAATAATGATAATGAGGTTATATATTGCAGCTACTATATAAATTTATTTATATTATATTCATATTTTATTTTAGTCTTCCGATTTTTATTACATTTTACTGGATTCCTTTCAAGGACATGTAGTACCCAATTCATGAAGAGATGATGAAAATGAAGGACAGACAACCCTCCAATTGCTCAATATTTAAAACCCAGCAAACACTTAAATATATATTGCGTCATCCGTAGTCGTATTATTTCTGATTGGCCTCAAGTCAGGCGACGGGAAAGACATGTACAATGTAGTCTCGTCAGGCTACACTCCCTTTAAGATATATCTCCCTACCTGGTCCATTGGTGTGTTCTTGTACGTCATTCTGTCTGTCCTGAGAGACGGTACACGCTGCTTCAAACCATTCCTGCTGGGGAGGTATCTCGTACATTGGCTGTCCGATCACAGGCTTTGAAGCATTCTTCACTGAATCTGAGAAGCGCATGGATCACAGTATATATCAAGGGGTCAGTGACACAATGGATCAAAGTATATATGTACCTTTTGTAATTAAAGTTTGTCTGAAGATGTACATGTAGAGTTTTAATAACTGGTAACTGGTAAATGCAACTGGTATCCCCGTGCCATTCTATTCAGGTGTAGGGACAAATCGGAAAAAAATCAGGAAAAAATAAATCGGGAAACCGATTTAAATCGGGTAATTATCGAGCCTGATTCTTGAGTTTCATTCTTCTTACAATAGATACATGTGAATGTACAAACAGTAGGGAAAGTTGTTCCCAGAATAGAATTTTAAAGCTGTTATTCAAGAAGGTAACAAATAAATTAAGTCCTAAATTTTATGTTGAAAAATCTTGTAAACCTACAGAATGTAGTTGTATAGAGGGGGTAAAGGCCGTCTGTACCAGTTTGGCCAGGAAGGATTAGACCACCCAGCATTGTCACTGACAGGTAACTTTCTCATCAAATTGGCTCTCAATTGACATAAGAAAAATAGGATCATGGGGGACCAATGGGCACTGCTTACCGGTAGGCATTTTTTCAATATAGCGGCAGCAAGTACATGTAGCTACAAGTAGTACAGTGGGGCTTTAAATCATTTAATATATTCAAAGATTGAAATGTTACCTGATGGGGTATCAGGTAGACAATAGATGTAGTAGCCATAGATTATCTGCTTGGCTCCTCTGATACTAAATACTGAGAAGATATATCCCTCATTAAGCATCTCCTGTGGGTGAGAACAGTCATAAAAAGAATACATTCAAAGTCTTGCCATCAATATTATGCAATCAATATCATGCAATAAATGTTATGCGTTCAATGTCATACAATCAGCATCTTGCATGCACTCGATGTAATGCAATCACTACCATTCAATTGAACATGTAATCAATATCATGCATGCCACAGTATGCAATTCAAACCATGCAATCATGTTTTGTATATACAGGTAGTCAATGATATGCAATCAGTATCATGCATTGAACATAATGCAATCAACATCATACATGTACATTCAATATCATGTATTGAACATTCAAGTATCATACATTCAATGTCAATTAAGCATTCAACATACAAACATCATACATTCATTATCATGTATTCAACACAATGCATTCATTCACTGGTAATGCGTCTATTTTCACCCTTCTACCAGAGTCAGACATGATAAAAATATTAAAGAAAATTATGGAGCGCACATTGATATTTGTTGAGACAAAATCATGCTAATAAAGATTTTGTTTACGTACATGTAGTCAAACAGAATTTGGTATTTTGCTAGTTTATTTTTGTTCTATGTACCTGTAAGACTTTGACGGCTTGCTCATGGCTTGGCTGATCAATGAATGCCTTCCTGATCCAACTCACTGCCTCAGCTGAGGTGAAGCAGTCTGAAGGGAGCCCTCTATGATCACCTCCTATGAAGCCAAGCCCAGTGCTGATGAAGGGAAAAACATAATTTGTAGGGTGAATCCATTATGCTGGGTTTTTAGGCTCACACTTAAAGCAAAGTTTAAGATGCACACCAAATTTAGGATTCCCACACTATAACAATACTGAATCACAACTAACAATTTATAAGCCCATACTCTGAGACAAAGTTGAAAGTTTAAACTTAGGAGAGAGAACTGTAGTAAAGTGGTGAAGGATTTAGACTTTCACACAAGATGTCCTGGGCTCAATCCTTGCCGGGTGCCCACATGAAGTAAATGGTGTTTTATGTATATCTGACCCCTCGACCAAGGTATACTTATTATGTACCTGGCAGTTTGGGGGTAATAATAATTGTAGGGCCAGCAGTAAGAGGAGCATCAATACTGATGTGGCTATCTTTAGGGAAAAAGCACTTCTTAATATTATTATCAAATAATTATAATTATATCCTGTATTTTATAAATTAAAACTCAGCTGTAGGGTTTAAGCTTTTGTCCAAAATTATCAGGTTCAACAAAGGAAGTTAGTCCAAGCCTGGTGGGTCGTAATGAATGATGAAAATACAAACCCTTGGGTCCCCTTACCTTGGGTCTCTCATAGCCTTGACAATGGTAGCATACAGACTACCCTGGTGGGGTCTTTCATCCCTCTTATCCGGAGACTTTGGACTCCCTGGTTCGCTGGAGGGGTCCTCCTTGCGATTGGCTACCACACCAGACAGCAGCGTCTGCAGGGAGCCGGTGGTGAGGCTTAGGGAGGCGTGGAGGCTGGTGGGGGTGGAAGTGCCACTCTGGGTGATCTTCCGGTAGCCGGGACTGGTAGCGCTTTGATTGATGTCACCCTGGGATGTTCTCTAAATTTGGAATAGAAGAAGGCATAACTGATTCAAAAGAACTAAAAAAAAAACAATAGAAAGTGGCATGTATGTTGCAGGATGAAGAAGGATGGTTAAAAGTGCTGATAGGTGTTCAGGTACATGTACCTCTGTTTGCGATCTTCCATTCACAATGACTGGTAGCTTTCTGAGTGATGTAACCCTGAGAGTCTGAGACACTCTGAGTGTGAGATAGAAGAGAGGACGTTGTATTAAACTTAAAGAGAAGAAGAGTGTGGTAGGTGTGGCACAGAGACCGGGAGGGTTCAAGGTACCACTGTGGCCGATCTTCTGGTAACCAGAACTGGTAGCACTTTAACTGATTTCACCCTGAGCCATTCTCAGAGTTTGGTATCGAAGAAGGCATACGTTAGTAAAGAATCGAGGAGCAGATGGTGGTAGGGGTGTTAGGTGGTGGAGGTTTGAGGGTGCTGTTCGGGGTCTTGGAACAATCGTGGGTGATCTTCCATTACCTGGGCCTTGTACAAGTTCGGGAAAAAAACGGTCACATTAAATTGTGCCGATCACTCAAACAATGTCCTGCTTTGTATGATAAGGATTTAATGTTGCTATGCTATAATCAAAACAAAAAATTGAAATAGTACTTCTATAAAGATATATTGCAGTTTAAATACACTGTCAATAAACAAAAAAGCAACTTGTGTGTGGACTAGTCAAGGAATCTGCACAAATACATGCTCGCAAAGCATAGGCCTGCAGGAACCCATGTTCCACTTGAGTTCCGTAAATGGGATTCTACGTCAACTCTTATTTCAATTTAATTCAAGTACATTCAATGTGTATATTTGTCCAATGTGTGTTCAACATGGATATTTGTTTCGCTCACATGTAAAGCAAATTAGGCTCAGAGAAAGTGTACAAAACACAGAAATATGATACAAAAGACAGAAAAATTTTGGTGAAGAAAAAAATCAGAGGGAAACATAATAATATTACTTTTGTTTGGTTATGGCTTGTTTCGTTTCCTTAACTTACATAATTTAACTGCATATTTATAAATCAAAATTATTTTCTTCAGAATTCTTAACATTAACATATGGATACAAAACTCTAAAAAAAAGATCTATTCTACCTTTTTGGAACCGCTTAATGATGGTAGGTGGAGTCGAGTCCTCCTTCGATTGAGCCCTTCAAAGAACCTTAGGAAACCCTCTACAAGAGCTGGATGCTTAGATGACCCTTCCTCAGACCGGAACACATCTAGATGGCCTTGGTAACTCTTCTCGGACATCTGACGCAGGGTGGACGAGTGTGAGGGCAGCAGAACGAATCGCGACCGCCAGAATTTCACACACTGATCAAATAGGGATTGCAAAGGAAACAAACAAAACAGTGATGTATACATCTATCATTTCAGATATCAAAATCCAAGTTGAATCTAAATTAACCCTGTAAGTTGGGGCTCTGATCGGATCGGAAGATTGGAGCGACACCCTCGCACCTTTGATCGGTATCGGATCGGAAGATCGACCAACAAAAAATTGGCAGATTTTTTTTTTTTTTTTTGACAAAAATTTTCAAGTTTTTGGTTACCAAATGCTAAAAAAAAATTCATGGCTGGGATTATTTTGTCATTTAGAGTTGTTGTAGACCATGTTTGTTGATATTTAGTGCCTTTTCATGACTTTGAAATACTTTCATGACTTTGACTTTAATAATATTGGTCTAAGAGAAGAGGCAAAACATGTGGGCCGCCATCTTGTATTATAATGCATACCTACATTTGATAGCCAAAAACTTGAAAATTTTTGGCATTAAAAAAAAAAAAAAAAAAAAAATTCTGCCGATTTTTTTTCCGATCATTTTAATTAATCGGCGATCGGAAATCATTATCCGATCACTCCTGATCGGATCGGTATCGGCGTCCGATCTGATGATCGTTTACGGGGTTAATCTGAATCTGTATTCTTATGGTCATCTGTAGGCAGAGATGTTTCTATAATTATCAACAACGGCTTGCATAGATATCAACATCCAGTTTAATGGAAACATCTTACATTTCAGTAAGATGTCTGGTGGTTACAATGGGCATAGTTATCCGATCTTAAATGATGGGGAAGTTTCGAAAGCTTTATTCGAAGCCCTGGGCACCGAGTCATAAAAATTACCATTGATGGTAACTTTGCCATCAATGGTAACTACCATGGAAACCTTGATTTTGATTCGCTAATCATTTTCTGGTCTTTCTTGATGCATATAGTAATATTCAGAAATACTAATTTTTTATTCTTTCAAGTTCAAATAGATGTACTTCTCATTCTGCAAATTAAACGCAAGGGAAGTTTGCTATTTCAAATGAATTCTACTTGCTATCAATTCACGTGTTCCATCTCAACATTTCATACCTCTTGCAGTTCAAAGCCTTCTCTGGACGCCATGCCACAGAAGGAAATGTAACTATCACGATAGTTCCACCGATCGTTCTCCACCGGTTTGTGGTACATCCTGCTGTATGCTATCTCATAGGCGTGCTTGTGAAGGGGCCAGAGAGAGTAGGAGTAGGCCAGTTTGGGGCTTGGAGAACTCTTCCTGAAAGTTGAAGGAATAGAGGACACAAATGATGTTTTTTGTTGTTGTTATGGAACAAACTATTTGTAACTCGTTTGTTACATGTTGTTTTTTGTTTGATTGTTTGATTGTTTGTTTTATTTGTTTTTACCTGACTGCTATTAAAGAAAGCATGTGTATATATGCTTGTAAGTAAGCAACCAGGGGACCAAAGGCTTTAAAGGGACTTGGTAACATTGTTCAGATGAGAGAAAATTATAAGAAAGATAAGAGTTTAATCACTATTCGTATGGGCACTTCAAATTGGCTGAAGCGGTAATGTCAATGTGATGTAGAACCAGACTACTTTTCCATCTGCTCCAACATATAAAATGTCTAAAATTTACAGTTTCCAAAAGTTTATTGCTCAGGAGGGTTTTTTTCTTTTTAGAGGACCTATAATAACATGCTATAGTGCCTCAAGGAAGAAGGAACTTACAAGCAAAACAGATTGAATTGATGATATTTTTGTACACGGGCAAATGCGAGAGTTATCTACGTCCTACGTCACAATCCACTAACCGAACTACCAAATTGAGATGTAGTGATCTCATATTTCAAACATACATAACTTCCTTACTATTGGTCCGATTCATTTCAAACTTTTGATATTCTGTTTCTGTTATTTATCTGCTTTTGTACAAATCAACTTCTTACAAAGGTTGGATTGCCCTTTACGGTTTCTTTTGTCTCACCTCATACATGTCTAGCAACAATGTTTTTTTTCTTCACATACCTGGCAGTGTAGAGAACGACCTCGATGTCATTAGTATCAGCACTCAGGGTTAGTTTGTGGAAGGCATTGGCATAGCTCAGCACACACATATCCTGAAAAGAGAAGAGAATCATTGGAATCATTGATGAAATTCTGTTTGAATATTTTTGTCTCTGATGAATTCAAATTAAATAATAATCTCAATAGGGTACCGGTATGTAGATATGTACATATACATGTATTTTATATACGTGTGTGCTACAATTTAATAAAGATTTAACATTGTGTAGACCACCGTACACAAATATTGATTTATATTAAATGATATAATACTGTTTTAAATCATATAGTACTGTATATTGGAAATTGTCACAAATTCTTTCAAAATTGTACAGGTTCTGGAAACACCAACATCAGATTAAAGACTGTTCACAATGTGTGCACCAACTCAATTCTCTGAGGAATATGCCTGATGTACAGTCACCATACTGAAATTCCCAAACGAACGTCAGGTATATGTTTAAGACTTGTCTATATACATGTACCATGTCATTATCATACATGTACCATGTCATTATCATACATGTACCATGTCATTATCATACATGTACATTAAAAATTATAAGATTTTGAATGTAAATATGTTGATGTATATGGAATAAATAAACATCAAATCAAATCAAATTTGGCTACATATGTTTTAAAACAACTGTCAGTATCTTTACAGGTCCTGAATTGTCTATGAATGATTCACAACATGTGCAGTTTCTATTAAAAAAAAGTGTACTACTCTTCTCAAACACGTGTAATACAACTTGAGGGTACCTTTCATATGTGCCCTTTGACATTTGCTGTAGTGTTATTGGCGGCAGAATCTATTTTGTCAAAATTATTAAGTTTTGGGTTGTAATAAATTTTTTGTTTTAATAATTATTTATATTAGACTAGGGGCTACGGTTATAGTGTTGGATCCAAGACTCTCTCTCTCTCTAAGTGCCATATCGTTTGACTTTGGCGATCATGCTGTTCCACAACCCTCGGCTCCTAGCCTTCTCTATTAGCACCCAGTTCTTTCACTCCTCTCTCTTCCAACAATTTCTGCAGACTGTCCATACGTCATGATAGAAGTAGGTGACTGGATTAGTGTACGATGTCAAACAGTATTTTTCATGTGTCAATGACAATGTTCCCACAGTGTACCTTGCGAGGATCAGTAGCCAGTGGTTGGTCTTTCCTGTTCCTCTGTGCCAATCCAGCCTGTTCTTGCTGTGGCAGAACAACCAACTGGAAATCCTGAAAGAAATGAGTGGAAACAAAACTTGGCATTGTTTAACAATGTTAAATCTGAGATGCATGGCCCTAGGTGTTATCAGTGTCTGTGATATGGTGTAATATTGAAGCCCTAAAAGAAATTGCACTTCAAAATGATCAAGAAGTGCCTCAAAAAAGTAAGAATCTTTAAAAGAGTGACCGGTTTTACCATACTCATTTTCCCCAATAGACTGTAGTGTTATAAAAACCGTTAGGACACTGAAAAATGACATTTTGATTTCTAATCAAAATTGGATTACTGACTGACCTAAGGGGTTATAATTATGATTGCAGTATGAGCTAAATCCAGGATTTTGTTTCAGAATCTGAGGCAACGTTACCGAGTCACTTTAGATAAAGAAAGGCAATCTTCTCATGCATGTATTTCAGTGAAAACAAAGCACATTTCATTCAATAGCTTGACAGGACTTGGCAGTGACAGGACTATACAGTAGGTGAAACCGATGTGTCCAGACGGACTCAATATTAAGTCAATTGGCATACAGCTCAGAATATCAGCAACAAAGAAAGAAATAATTTATAACACACATTTCTTTGCCAATGTGGGCAAGTAGATCCAAAATGTCTAGAGTTGATTTTAGTACGAGGGTTGGGTTATAGGTTCCCAGCTAGGGTTATGTTTAGTACTAAGTCTGCCAGGGTTGAATTGGTCCATGGCTGGTGCAGGATCTTGACCACTGATCAATTGTTGTCAGAGCATGGGTCGTAGAACCTAGCCTATCATCCCATATCAAACATATCGAAGATGAAAACAAAAAATAACAAACCTGTATGAGTCTCTGAGAGATGAGTTCCTGAAATATCTTGTTGACATTTGATGGGCTCGTTTCTGTATCGTTCTCTCCCTCGATACAGATGGTGTACGGTCTCTCCTGATAATCCATATCCAAGGCTTGCTTTAATGGGTAGAAGTCGGTTGTTATCGGGAAGCAGGCTGTTGTTGTCATCGATTTCCAATCCATCCCTGTTCAAGGATTCATAAGTCAAAAGCAGAAGTCAAAATGAAATTAATCTGTCGATTACTGAGTTCTTGTATTCCTGAGGGATGTTTCATAAAGACTAAGATCAATTTTAATTTGTACTTAACTATGGCACTGGCTGCCCTCACCATTGGTCTCTCAATCTTTAGATAATATTTTTTCCTCCAATAATAAACTATAAAAAAATGTAACTTCTGCAGATTTGTGACCACGATTTGTACATCCCTTGAAAAACCAATGCCAGGATTTTTTAAAGGAACTAGTGGCATGAACGGCCTGCCATAGTTAAGTTCAACTTCATTACGAAAAGCTCTCGTTAAAACTATACCCCACCACTATAGCACAGCAGTCAATGTAATCTGGTGGGGTAGCACTACCCCAGATTCGTTTCTCTCGTTAAAACTTTGTAATCTGGTGGGGTAGCAATACCCCAGTTTCGTTTCTCTCGTTAAAACTTTGAGAGAGCTATTACTATTACACAGGCACCAATGGGAATCTGATGGGGTCTCACTACCCCACTTTCAATTCTCTCGTTAAAAACTTGGACAGAGCCTTGAGGCTTTGAGTGAGAGATTAAGATATTGGATTGCAGCTGGACTCTACATCATCTTACGTAATACTAGTGTAAACAAACTCTTACTGGGGTCTGCCTGAAAGGAAATGAGAAGTAGGAAATAAGTATTTTACTTGTTTTAAGATATTTTCATGTCCTAAAGTCACTAATAATTTAGATGAAGACCAAAATGAAAGTTCGAACGAAGCAAAATGACCCATAATTGGCGATATAACAACAATTTTAACTCTGGCAGCGAACCCCTGCATGTGTCTCTTTCTCCCTTCTCCCTTCCTTTCCCCTTGTATCATGCTTATCTCTCTCTCGCTATCACCTCATCAAGGTCTCGGTGGGGGTGGATTACAGCGCTAGTGTTTACTTAGGGCTTATCACAATCTCAGCTCTAGTACAAGTAGAAATGGTGAAAGTCAAATGGGGGTTTCAATTTTAAACGACGAGTTTTCGTCATGTAAAGTTAATCTCGGTCTTTGTGAAACACTCCCCTGTAGCTGTACACAGGGACCACTCGGTTCATGTATGTAGCGAGTTCATGCAGAACCTCAAGCATTGAAATGAAAATTGCTATAATGTGAAATTCTTCCCCAGTTTATAGAAGACCACTAAATGCAAATAAAACAGTCCAATGCCCCAGTGTAGTGGTCCTGCACACCCCCAATCAGTTATACCGGGAGGAGAGACCCATGGGTCACAGGGATTCATTTCCCTTTTCGCCTCCCAGGTACAGGTGGTGCCAAATACTTAATAACAATAATGATAATACATGTAAAATGCTTACCCGACTGTAGGAATGGGGTCCAAACTTGTTCCCCGGTGATGCCCCACACGCACCCCCTACGACGCCTGGTATCCACTTGCACCCACCATCCATGAGAGATGTCTGAAGCTAAAAAAACAAAAACAAAAGCAAAACCAAAATCATCAAAACTTCAATCTACAAAATTCATGTAAATATGCAAACACTCTTGAAAATATTCATTCTGGAACCAATTCTGCACCATTTTTTTTAGCTTGGTGTTGTTGGGGTACTGTTCAGGCTAGAACTGCTAGATGACTCACTAAATCCCTCCCCAAGGGTATAGCTGGGGTTGGGGCTAGGGGCTAGGGGCTAGGGGCTGGGTGTTGTGGTGCAGCTAACAATGGAAGTTACAAACTGATTCAGCCAAGGACGCAGGTTCGAAACTGAGTCACGTCTTTCGGATGGTGACATTAAAGGTCGGTCTCTAGACGTAAATAATCATATCTGATTGATACACGGCTGTAAAAAACCCAATTACACACACGCACGTTGGAGCTATGGATGTGACTGGGGTGGGGTACTGTTTCGTACTCACTTGGTGTTGCTGGGGCACCGTTCAGACTGGAACCACTAGATGAAGCACTCACCCCCTCCCTAGGGGCGTGATCGAGGGTGTGGTTCAGGATATCCTGTTCACTGGGCACCTTGACAAGCTGACGATGATGAAGCTGTATCATCTCACCATCAGGACCTGAACAATGGCAATTTTAACAGCAGAATAAAAGAAAAGAATTTTAAACAGACTCTCAACAATAATCAATGTACCGGTAAGTATACAGTTATCTCTCAAACACAAATTTAAGGCCACTATTAAAAGGTAATGCAAAGTTTTGGGAAATTAAAAAGAAAAGATGGATAGTAATTCTTTAAAATGTTCATACATGTATATTTGGATGCCCCTGTGGATGTACTATAAGCACTAGAAAATTTAGCCCCTAAAACTCTTCTGCTTTCAAGAAATTGAACAATCAAATTCAACTATTTCAAATAGCGCCTAAGGCCATTCCATAGTACATGTAGCTGCGACCATGAAAATTTCAGAATATGCAGTTCTGATAAATTTCCAAACGGGAATAGCAAATCGGTCAATTGTAGTCAAGAAACATTGTTTTAAAGCGAAAATAATATCAGTCTTGAGAGGGAGCTATACAACATAAACAGTTTATTACCCGGTATTTACAATTTCATCACTTTAGACTCGATTTCAACCGCATCAACTATCATTGAATATTGTAAAATCGCATATGCTTCCAATATGTTCATTTGAACCAAATTCATGACCCCATACCAAAACTTTGTATTACATTTAACCTGGGGATCTTTTGCCCTTTTATGAGGTTAATAAAAGGGTCACACAACCCATTAAAATCTATAAGCAATTGCAGTACAGAGGGCAATGTCACTGACAAGCAATTGTATTTTAGAGCAACAACAATGATGAGGAATGCCAGACAGGGTTGGGGGTCCAAGGAGGTTAACAACCACTGCGTAGACAAAATGTTGGAATCCTAGTTGAATAGGTATTGGTAATGCACTGATAATGAAGAAAAATAATGACTCTTCAAACGGATGTCATGAGTTTGAATCCCTGCCTTGGTCATATTTCATAAGACAAGGTATCGGTAGCTCTATCCCAACACAGGGATATATGTGGTAGATACATACTGTACACTGCAGTAACCAATCTTTGCCCTCTGATGTATTGTGCTCAGTTAAAGCGAGGGCAAATACACATTGTTTCATAAATACGCAAACGATGTGTGCTTCACAAACACAAAACAAATTAGTAAGCAATACATTTCTATATAGAAGCTTTCTCTGATACTAATTTTCTTGCATTAAACTGTTTTTTTATCAAAGTAAATGCAAATGGAAATATGAAAGTAAGGTATTTACCATGAGGAAAAGCGTGTGTCCACCTTCTGCGGTCAGCGGTCAGAATGACCGACAGGGTGTCTGGGCAGAAGGGGTTGTTCAGGGACTGGACCTTGGACATTCTCCTCCTGCCTCGCTGGAAGAGCTTGCTATCGTGCCTCTCAAACTTCTCATCATCATCCTCCTCTTCGTGCACCGTCATCTTGAGGTCTCCGCACGAACCCTCGCTGCTCAGTGTGCTCCTGGAGCTGTCGCCATGGAAACGACCCGATGACGGCACCTTAGGGAGTGCCGACGAGCCCTTGGGTGTTCTTGGAGAATCCTCATCCTGTTTAGAAAAGAAAGTATTTTCTGAGATCGCTCCATTCTTTGTAAAATAAGAACATTTGTGTAGTAATACATTCCCACTGGGAGAGACCAAAGCAAGAATATCAGTTGTTCTTTCACCCATTTTGTTCCAATGTATGTTTCTTGAGAATGTGACTGATTGAAAGCTTACATCTAAAAGTATTCAACAAAGGCACTATTTCAACCAGTCAACCTTTCATTCTTGAGTTTAAATACAAACAACACAAAAACAAAAAATTTACAAGAAAGACTTTAACTCTTAAGCTGCCACCCATACAATGCACCCAGTGCCACGGTGCTAATCCCTATTGTGCCAGCCACAAATCTCCTGTGTGCCAAGTTAATTTTAAGGTTGGTTCAAGTGCGTGTTATTGAAATCTTTACAAAAAACAAATCGCTGAATTACTTGAGAAAATCCAATCTGACTGTTGTATACAAAGACGCGTAATCCAAAGCCGATAATCTGATGCACGCGATGGTACTTTCAATAGCGCTGCAAAAGCACTCAGCACGATGCAATGGGCATGAACAATAACTGTTATTACATATGCTTGCTAGCGTGCACAAAGCAGACAACCGGTAGCTCGCTAGCATGAACATAGCAATCAATCGATAGCGTGCTCGCGTGCACAGAGCACTATAACAATAGCGCGCTAGCAGTCTCATGGCAGGATATGAGTTAATAGTTGTTAACTGTATGTAAATGATGAATGTTCATTTCATGATTGTTGGATGAATAAGAAAAGATACAATTTAAACAAGACTTACTATGCGGTCGGGAAGTCGCAATCTAGAGATGAAAGAAGTCTGGGTAGACTGGTACCTTCTCTTCTGACTAGGCGATAGATAGAAGCTGTAGTTTAACCAGTGCGGAATGTTGTACTTGTCTTTGCATGGAGCGCTCTTGTTTAGTGAATCCAAAAACTGAAAAAGAAATACAAAGCATGAATGCATATTTATAAATCCACATTCATATGTATGTCACAAAAGTATAAGACACAGCTTCTATGAAACATTTAGCAAAGAAAGAATAATAGTTGTTTAACAAAATAGTGTTGCCAGTGCACTGGAATTATTATTGTAAATTTAAAGATCCATATTTGTAACATCCATACATGTGTAGATAAAGCACTTCAGAAATGTCAAACTTGTGATCTACTCCGTAAGGAGTTTCTGATAACTATTTGGCAAAGATGTCTAATGGTTATACCCTAATCACATTGGTGTTGCCAATTTTCAGGACAAGGCGGTGTACTGATCGCATCTTACCTTGAGGAGAGGTACTGGATGAAGAGGTTGTTCAGATAAGCACACGACATCACTACCAATACCTGAATGAAAGTACATGTACAATCATTATTTGGAGAAACTTAGTTATCAGAGTCATAGGTGTCCTTTCTTTATGGAATAGTACACGACTCACTTATCAACAAAATATAATACATATAAAAAACCAATGGCGCTTCATGCAGGTTAATTATAAGAAACATTTTTTTTTTTCCAATTAACTCGTCTCTACTGTGACCAGTACCTTTTCAATGGCTAGTATACAGTATTTTACGCCACCATATGATAAATACTGATATTTTTACATTTCCAAGTGGGTTGGTTTATAGTCCAGCGGATGATTATTGCTTCAACTTTCACTATCTCATTATCGGAACTATTAAGAGATTTGGATTTGAATTTAAACATTTTCATGAGAACATTATCAAAATTTTAGTGATTTGTCGTTTGGTCTGCACTCTACAATCAGTTCGTCTACTACCCACATAGTCTAATTGAAGTTTGAAGTTTATTTGTTCCACATTTACATCAAAAAACAGTTTAAATTCTTTTTTTTAATTTTATACAAGCGTATACGCGTAGATTAAAGATTTTAAATCAAGTACATGTACATTGTACAGAAAATAGATACCAAGTTTCTAAATATATAGATATGACAGGCAATGTAAAACAATGTAAAATGCAGGGAGCCTAAATAAAAAGCATAGCTTGTATGTGAATAGGCTCCCGTACTGAGTAACACAAGGTATTATAGGAGGCGAAAACAGAGTAGTATAGTACGAGATTCTTTGAATTTGAGAAGACAAGAAAAATAGAATAAAGAGTAAAGAAAATAATATAATAATGATAAGTAGGAGATTGTGAAGAAGGGAAGGAAGAAGAAGAAGAACCCAAATTATTTCAATATTGGCACTTTCCAGGTCGGCACCGTCTTTGGTTACTTACCGTAATCAATCATCCGTTGTTCCGTCAGCTTACACAGCGTCCTGTCCACCTCAAAGACTCCGGCCCCCGGTGTTACCATGACGACCAGCTGTCCAGTCCGGTCAAAGTTACGATTCATGTAGTGGTTGTCAAACACTACAAGGGGGAAGAGAGAATTTTACCCATGAGGCCTCCATATCACACTTGAATCAAACCCCCTTTTCACACAGGGGTAAAATTATTTAAAACTCAGCTTTAGATACAACATTATTTACACACAGAAAATTTTGGTGCGGTCGTTCGAGATTCGCTGCTCTTTAAACGCTCAGTAGGGCCATTGCGCATTTACTCACTGCTCGTAAATGCGCAATGGCCCTACTGAGCGTTTAAAGAGCAGTGCCCGGTCTAGTTAAGGGCGTATATCCGTTCACACACAAAATGTCTTGCTCTCTAGATCCGGGCTTAGTATCTACAGCCTGCTTGACCGGCGTATGAATCGCGACTTCGTATCTACGATATCAGCTCTAGATACAATGAAAAGGTGTGAAAGGGCTGAAATTGTGTGAAAAGGCTGAAATTCAAGTTCAAGATCATGTTCAAATTCCAGTTTAAAAACTTACATATTTTTTCCCCTTCACTTGTATGATTATGAATATCAAAAAGTATGTACGGTAGGTCTTGCTTTTCCCTTTTGAAGGAAATGAGATGTGAATACTAAACAAAACACAACTTTAACTTGTATGTGTTTACAATACAGAAATTTAATGCACTAAAATTATTTGTTTATGTAACATATCAAAAATGCAGCCATCTGTATACAATCTCATTATGAAATTAATTCCATGAAAAAGAAAATTCTAAAAAACAGATTTTCATAAACGAATGGTTTGCAATAAGTATTTAAAGAGAAGTCCTTCATTTGCACATTTCATTTTGTCCCTGTTTGCTTTAGCAACAAGTTACCCGGTATAAAAACACCACTCGAGGAGACAAGAAGGGAAGTCTTCATTAAAGCAGATGGTCTTTATATCTTAACTTGTTGCTAAAGCAGGATTCACTGTACATCAAATGTGCCAATACATGTTCCATTCATAGCACTATATCTTGTTGATGAGATTCCCCTCAATATTCTTACCGTTCAAGCTGAGGTTAAGTGCCTCTAGGAGGTTCCCTTGACAGGCATTAGAGTTTTCACCTTTTATCACACATCCAGCTGAAACAAGAAAAAGAACACGTCAATTTTTGAAAATGAGACTCATGATTACATGTATGTGAAAGGTAATACCGGTACGTACTACTGAAAATCAAAATCTCAAAGTCCAAGTACTAACACCCCTGCTAGGTCGAAAATATGACATGTGTATACCTTCATCACATATTTCATTGGGTTACACGAGTCATTAAGTTCAGTCTTCAAATAGAATTAGGATTGAACAAGTCACAGAATCAAATAATCAAATATACATGTAGAAACTATTGGTTTGATTCACCAAAATGCTGATATCTCTCATGACATATATATCCAAATGAAATTTTCAACTAAATAATACACTGTCATGTACAGTACCACTCCCTAGATTGATGATACCGCATGTGCATGTCTGTCAAGAGGACATTTAGCGACATGTAAACTTCTTTTTTTACCACATTGAAAATTCATTTTGACTTATGAACAGTATAGGTTTTTATAATGTTACCCTTTCTTTGCCGGTCTTTGATGTCCTTTGCATAGCGCTGCATGGTAGCTTTGAGCGGAGCAAGGACCTGCAACCAGTCTTCTTTTCTCTCATTATGAGCAAATACCCTACAGAATAAAATAAAAAAATAATAATTAAAAAAGAGGACATAGATGTATTCCAGAATCATATTTTAATAGTGACATCAGGCCTAACAATGCAGCATGGTTTGAATTATGAAAATACTGTGTGAAACATTGGGAGTGGGAAAACATTTTGATTTAATAATACCCTGCAAATATCCTACAATTTTCTGATGAAGACTAATAGATACATTATAATGTAGATTCAACAAACCTTGATAACCTTGCAAATTGAACTTTTGCAAACATGAGCCATGCTTTTTCTTTGTAATCTAAGATATGGACGTGGTGACCTCAGACTACAGTGTATGTGACATGTATGTTATCGAATATTGGAAAAATAAGGGTATCACCCCCATTCCCCTTGAGCTCACTGCCCACTTGACGATCTTTACATGACTTCTGAAATTGCCTTATCATGAAGAAATAAAAATGCAATTATCAAAAAAGTTTCGGATTAAGGTCCTAATGTTGATACATGTATAAATAGTAAAGTCAAAATTGGGAGGTATTGCAGGTCTTTCAGTCAGAGAAAAGGTGAATTCAGCTTCAAATTTGGGATTAACATTAATATGATTTGCAGCTGATCGGATTTTTCTCTGACCAAACGCCCAAAGTGGCCAGATTCTATATATCGTCGCACTGCTGGCAGAAGGGCGTTAGCGTGCGAGCGACTCGAAAACTACTTTTCAAATTATTTGCATTTAAAGATTTGTTTTATATTTAAACTGATTTCCGTCCCGAAAATGGTTTTAAAAACTTAAAAGACTAATAAAAATGTTATAACAGAACACGGCCACAATTTTTTTCTCGGAAATGAGTCAGATTTATAAAAGTTTGAGGCGATTTAGTGCTAACGCCCTTCTGCTTAACGCTTCATTTTTTACCTGAAATTTTAACTAACGCCTTTCTGCCAGACAGGCGACGATAGGTTCAGATACACTGTATAATGATGTTGGAATTTCTTTGAAAATTGGATCGAAGTAGGATTGTACAGTAGGCAGTGGGCCAAATTGTATATACTGCCTTAAAGGTATAAACCTGTTTTGGAAACGGCCCCCTCTTTAAAAAAAAATGAAATGCAAGCTCTTATTACCAATTATGTGAAAGAATATGTTTAACCAATACGTCATGATAACAATTTTGCCAGGAAACCGTCCATTAATTGATTTATTCGGTAAATTATTATATCTATCCGGACCAAATATATATCGGGCACGTTTCGCGTAGTCCCATACACATCTTTCTGTGTACAGTGCTTGTAACTTTACCAAGACTGGACCAAATTTCTTATCATTTTAATGATTCCAAAACCTTGGAGTACACACCAGTACTTATATGCTACATGATCAACCTTTTCTGATCGATTCCACAACGTTTCTTTCACAATGCAATCGCATGACCAGAACTGGTCTTTACCTTTAAAATATTACCTGTAATAATCTTCATAGAAGCGACCATTTTCATGAACATGAAGTCTTGGCAGCATTTCAGCTGGAAACTTATCTGAGAAAACAATCCAAAATCAAATATATTCTGCCATTATCACAAAAATGGCATAGAAATTGTTAGCATAAAAAAGTGTAATTTTGGCTCTAAATCTGAAAAATTTGTTAAAGATAAAGATTTGGCAATTTTCTAATTGCAATTGCATTTCCTTCTGTTTTGTGATCACATAATGTATATACCGGTATTTGTCATTTTACACTTCTTTATACTTTTTTTTATGTTATGTATAATTCTGCTGTGCCATGATCTTTGTTATTGTTCAACTTATGGAAAAAATAGAATTTCTGTTGTTTGACAGATAAATCAACAAATGATGTATACTGCATAATGATAACGGATCTAGAGGATAGACACTATAAACATGACAGACAAAGAAAGAGGACAAAATATACAGTTCCTCATTCTACCCTCAACAATTGCTGTGGTAGACAAAGGAACATCCAGTGTAGAACAGGTGAATATGCATGTGACACCTGTTCTACACATTTTTACATAATAGCAGTGAAGGGATGTTCCCTTGTCTACCACAGCAATCGTGAGGGTAGAATGACAAACTGTATATTTTGTCCTCTTTCTTTGTCCGTCATGTTCATAGTGAGAAATAAATCTAATATATCAATATGGCTATGGTGACATTCATCATTATGGATTTGCTTACCTACAGAATCTGCTTCAAAGTAGGTTCTGGAGAAGAGCACGATACTCAACTCATGATTGCTATTCTTCTCCTTCCATCTTGTAAAGAGCTCTATAAGAAACCCATTCACTGCCTTCTCCATGTACAAGTCACCTGATATCAAAGAAATGAAATCAAAATCAATATTGCTGCTTATAAGTATCGGCTTGCAAGGTGATGTAGATATACAGTAGGCTTGCGGTTGCACCATGTGAGAGAGGGGGAAGGATTGGGGAGTCCTGAAAAGAACTCTCGGTAATCCTTCCCCCCCCCCCCCTCTCTCACATGGTGCAACCGCAAACTTACTGTATAAAGTCAATATTGTTTTAATAAACATCCATAATGGACACAATGGAAACAGCTTTTATAACACTACAGTCTATTGTGAAAAATGAGTATGGTAAAACTGGTCACTCAAAGATTTTTACTTTTTTGAGGCACTTCATGATATTTTGAACCGCAATTTGTTTAGGGCGTCAATATTACACCATATCACAGACGCTGATAACACGTAGGGCCATGCATCTCAGATTTAAAATTGTTAAACGATGCCTTTAACAGTTTCTAGCTCTTCATGTATGTATGGGCCTTTACAGTGAACACAATCTGGCAGTTTTGCACCTGAGTTTATTCTTACCACATGTGTCAAAGTCCCACATCTCTGAGCTCATCTGAATGAAGAGATAGACCATGGCTGTAGCCGATCTGAAGGCCACCCTCGTATCACTGGTAACGATCCCACAGGCCACGGTGCCGCCCCTGGACCACAGGTCCTGGACCTGGGCTCTGACACCACATTTCTCGACCTTCTGCTGGATGTGGAGACATGACTTCACCTGAGGAGAATATACAGTTTGTTTTGTTTTTTGTTTTGTTTTTTATTTTGTTTTACATTCCACAAAATAACAGTAAACATATTATTAAAGATCAGCAAGATAAAGCATAACGACAAAAAACAATTATGGCAGTAAATAATTAGTAACGTGAAATATGATGAAATAGCTGAGGAAATGTTAACAATGATGGTACCATCATCTGGAAATAAATTAACATTATTGAATGGTATTGTCTTTTGAGTCACTGAATTGAAAGATGAATGAATAATGATGTTCTACCAGAAAAATGTTGGCCATAATAAGATACAGGTTTTTTCAAGGGGCTGATGAGATAATTCAGTAACTTCATCTCTACCATTATCATCGTCATCACCATCATCGTTTTCATCATCATCATTATCGTCCTCATCATATCATCTTCATTAATATTATCAGTCATCACTACCATCATCATCATCATCATCACCACCATCAACATTGTCAATAGCATCATCATCATCATAAGCATCATCAGCAGCAGCATAATCTTGTTATCATCATTATCAAGTTTGGCAATCCCCAAAGTCTATGCCTGGGTGGAAAAACATATTCTAAACCTGTATTAAAACTGATAAAACAACATTCGCAACTACTCCTAACATGTAGAGTTGTGAATTCATAATGTGCATAGGATGCCTCTCTCCAAAAGACAGGACCTTCAATTAACATCCTATCTGAGGAACCGTGTACTCACCAGACTGTTCTTGATTCTCCACATGTCGATCGTTCTGATGTACTGATTCTTCAAGACAAATTCTATCAGGTCTAAGGCCACATCTCCAGACTAGACCTTAGTGATCTTGACATTTTGTTATAAAATTGTCTCGGAAACCCTCCATTTAACATCCTATCTGTGGAACAGTGTACTCACCAGACTGTTCTTGAGTCTCCACATGTCGCTCCTGCTGACGTACTGGTCCTTGAAGACCAACTCTACCAGGTCTAAGGCCACATCCTGACTGTCTGGCTCCACCCGTCTCACTTGGACCGTCTGGTAGGCTCGGAGCTGGAAGAGGGAGGCCACGCCCTGCTCTACACTCACCACGCCTACGGTGCAGAAGATGCAGGAACACAAAACGCAAAGATGAAAGTGAAAAAAAGATGGTTGTAAGGCATCATACCTACCAGAGCAATTATTTGTCTTAAAGTCTGTACTAGTTCAGCCATTGGGGATTAGACCAACCTGCAAGGTCACTGACAGGTGGTTATCTCGTCAAATCAGCTTTCTATTAACATAAGAAAAAGGGGATCATGGGGGACCAACAGGCACCGATTAGGCATTGGTGGTTATATAGAGGGCGCAAATAGCTATAAGTAGTGCAGTGGGACTTTAAATTGTTCAGTTCAGAATCTCTTACTTTTACTAGAATTGAACAACTTGGGATATAAGCACACAGAAATAGACTGTTCATGTTAAATGTATGTCCATGGCCACATCCCAAATGTTATCTTTTTCTACAAAATGAAATGGAGAACAAAATCCAATGAGGTTACCACCGAAAGTTGGCAAGTATAACCTACACATAATGTACATGTACATGCTGGGTTACTTTCCGTAAGCCGCCTCTAATAATATATGTACATGTATATGTGAGCGCGAAATAACTCTACCTGTAATATCATTCCAGAATTCCAAGAGATGACTAAAAATTCATCTGTTGTACAAATATATATTATGATATCATAATAACTGAGATACAATGATCAGTATACGATTACATACCTTTTTGAGGCAGCTCTACACTTAGTGTTTGCACCTGGACTAAAAGATGGCTGAAATAAATAAAAATCAATGAAAATAAATCAAAGAATCATATCACTGCACTTGTATGAATGACATTATTATTGATTTATATGTTTGATGTTTTGTCTTGTTCTCAAACTTAAATGTACACTGTAAACTTATTTTGTTACATAGATACTTATCAGTATTTGCTACTTTTAATTCATTTAAAAAAATCATATATTGTAATACGGTATGGTTTATACATGTCATTTTTTTTATTTTTTATATTTGAGTGGAAAAATAAATCAAATCAAATCAAATCAAATCAAATCAATGTTAGTAACATATACACTGTATATACACAGATATATGACCAAAATTATTATGGATGGCTTACAGCATGTCAGCAAAATATTATGCATTCAAGTACTGTTCCCACCTGTGCTGCCGACTGCCTTAAAAATGCAATATATAATACGTCACGTGGAGTGAATTTCAATTGGTAAACAAAGATAAACAGAGTGGGTAGCAACCTGAATGGCATGACAATCAGAAATGTCTACCGGTACTAAATATCATGTTAATAATATACTTTATTTTTTCGTGAATTAAGCCCTGCAAGTGACCCTATTTCAACTCTTAGTTTGCAAGATTCTTTGTGCATGGGATAGAGTCACTTAGATCTTTGTGAGATGTACGATTTCAACCTTTTTAAAAAGTTTTTATATATTAGAGAAATACGATAAGAGTGTTTACATACCTTTGTTTGTCATCAGGGTGGAATATCTCAAGAAAGTCTCCAATCTTGATTGAGGGAAAGTCATTTGGATTGATGATCACATGCTCCTCTGTTTATGAAACAGGTATAAAAAATAAATGACACTTGACCCCTTGTGAAGTACTAGATACATCGTCCCTGGTTGTACCATGACAAGTATTTATTTAACTTTAAACAGGGTGCTTCACAGCACGAGTACAATATTCAAAGGTTTGAACTAATGTAAATTACATGTATTTGTTGGCTTGCACCCAGGATGAAAAAAATGTGAATTGTGTCATTTATATCCTCAAAGCTTATCAAATATCCCCTAAATAAGAGTAAGCAAATTTAGCATATTGAATTACTAGAACAGTGTAGTTGCAAAAACCAAGTCCTGATTGAAAATTTAAATATATCTGCCCTGATGAGTGAATTTCAATTCGTAAACCAAGATTTAAACTGAGAGGGTGGAAACCTCGATCAGAAGCGTCAACCAGGACGGTATTACAATTTACAAATTAACTGTATTTTCCAGAATTAAGTCCAATATCATGTGCACGTACAAAAAATAGCACGCTGAATGCTTTTTACAGAAGAGCTTCATATTATTACGCAGTTCTTCAAATATAATATATCACATACACAAACATTCTTGGTTAAAAAATGGCAAGAGTTTGTTTAAAGTGACTTGGTAATATTGCCTCAGCTTCTGAAACAAAATCCTGGATTTAGCTCATGCTGCATTCATAATCATAAACCATTAGGTCAGTCACGTATCCCATGACTTTTACAACCTGAACGCCTGTCTGATTATCAAGATATTTATGATTCCAAATCGAAATTTAATTTTTCATTTTCCAAACGGTTTTTATAACACTACAGTCTATTGGGGAAAACGAGTATGGTTAAACCGGTCACTCAAAGATTTTTACTTTTTTGAGGCACTTCATGATCATTTTGAAGCGCAATTTTTTTAGGACTTCAATATTACACCATATCACAGACACTGATAACACATAGGGCCATGCATCTCAGATTTAACATTATTAAAAGATGCCTTTAACAATAATAGTTTGATTATTCCAATAAAATGGGAATAGAATTTCTCTGTTTCTCATTACCGAGACTCACCTCTGAAGCTTTTTTGATGTATGTACAACTTCATCGTTTTCTCTTAGCTGGGATGATCACCAGGCGGTTAAAGCGTACTGGAAACAAAATAGAACAAAGGTGAGAATAATATCATATCAAGCGCTGCAATTATATGTGCTACAAGTACATTTTATAGGGCCTTTTCAGGGATAATAACAAGGCCAAGTTTATTTAAAAGCACTTCAGGGGAGTGTTTCACAAAGACGAAGATCAACTTTAAGTTGGACTTATACTATGGCAGGCCGTTCATGCCACTGTTTGCTCTCACCATTATGATCTTTAGATAATATTGTTTCCTTTAAAGCCCCACTGTCCTACTTGTAGCTACATGCTCCCTTTATATAGAGAAAACTTCCCCAATCGGTGCCTGTTGGTCCCCCATGATCCTCTTTTTCTTATGTTAGTTGAGAGCTGAGTTAATGAGTCAGTGACCTCGCTGTGTGGTCTAATCCCTTCTGGCCCAGTAGTATTGATGGTCTTTAATAATGAGTTATCATGAAATAAAAATTCTGTAGATTTGTGACCATGATGTGTACGTCCCTTGAGAGACCAATGCCAGTATTAATGGTGAGAGCAAACAGTGGCGTGAATGGCCTTCCATAGTTAAGTCCGACTTAAAGGTAATACAAAGTTTTGGAAAATTTTGAAAATTGGGTGGATAGTGATTCTTTACAATTTTGATTTATTTAGTTTTCCCTGTGGATGTATTAATTATAAGCACTAGAAAATTTAACCCCCTAAAACACTTCGGCTTTCGAGAAAAATTGAACATGAAAATTTACTGGTGCTACCGGTAAATTTGGATGAATTTCAAATAGCGACTATGGACGTACAATGGTAGCTGCGACCATGAAAATCCCAGAATATTTAGATGTGATATATAATTTCCAAACGGGAATAGCTAGTTGGTCGATTTCAGTCAAGAAACACTGTTTCACAGCTTAATTAATACCTTGACCTTGAGAGGAAGCTATACAACATAAGAGTTGTATATGGGGGTAGTCCTCGACAAATCATTCTTGATTTTTGACTACCCCTTCCACATTTGCTGATTTTTTTCTTCTTTTTAAAACATACATTGCTCCAACTGGAGTCGTTTTATATATAATGTTGAACTTGAACTTGAGTTTATTATTTACAATTTCATAACTTTAGACTCGATTTCAACCGCGACAACGTTCACTCGATATTATAGGATCGCATGCTTCCAATATGTTCATTTGAACCAAATTCATGACCCCATACCAAAACTTTGCATTACTTTTAAAGTCGAGCTCAGTCTTTGTGAAACACTCCCCTGTACTATACACTGTATTTATTCTTAAAATGTGATGAAAGTCAGCAGGAAATTTTATGGCAGAATGAGTAATTACGTATTTCACTTGAAAAAGAAAGCTTTTAAGAAAGTGATTTAAAAACACATGCCATGACTCATACTTTTTCATCAAGTAGTCTGGTTGCAAACCACATATGCCACATTCTCATGCATGTTGAAATACTCATTGTGCAGAGTGAGGTACAGGGGAGAACACAGATAGTACAAATAAAAGTGAGCTGTGAATAGAATGCTCATTTAAAAAGGAAGTCACATGATGAGTCACATGATTGAATCATGCTCATCATGTGACATGTGTCATCCCCAATGTAACAGTAGCATAGGGCTGTCAACTTCGTTATGATTATCAATATCAGAAATAATGAAAATATTTCAGGTAGTTGGTAATTTATAGGAGAAAAATCCAAAGGAAGTGAACCATAAGGCTCTTTTTCTAGCTGTAGTATCGGGGGAAGGGTCACTGTATCTTGACACTTTACACAAATAGAGCTGTCTCTATTGCTGTAGGGTTTTAGGAAAAAATATGCATCAAATAGCAACAATAATGTTCTTCATTTATAATATTTACAACATATAGTAACAAACCTTTCCAAATATCCATGGAACATATTACAATGTAGATTGCAAACATGTTCATATCACTCAATCATGTTAGAAGACTTCAACATTCTGAGTTTGCATTAATTGATTTTGAATTGTTTAAACTTTTAAAGTTTGATGCTTATAGGCCTAGGGTAGCACGCCCAGTATTCGGTCAAACAGCCGTTTCAACAGCTGTACAAATTTAAAATATAATTTATGAGCCATGAAACTTGCACAAATTAGGCAGCTGAACAACTTTTCTTAACTCTCAAAATTAAATCAGGTATAGGGCCCCGGAAAGACCTCCAACTTAACTCGAAATTGGTCAGTGTCGCACAACTTTCTGCACTTCCGTGTTCTGTTAGCACATGCGCTAACATGCATAGCCATATGTAGAAGTCTATTGCGAAACAACTATGGGTGCTGTCGCAATGAATTTAGTATGTGTGTGAAGAGGAGCTCTTCCGTGTTCGCTCCATCACAGCGAATTTGCAAATGACGCACTTGCCGATGTGCAAGAGGTATTTATACGATACATGTACCCTTGCCATGCGGTATCGCTCAGCCAGTATTCGGTCAACGCATTGACATTCAGTGCTTTGTCGCGCAATTGTGTGAAAATAGTGCGCAAATACGCTTCGCTCCTTGTCAACGGAGATACCATGCACAAACCATGTGACCGAATTCTATTCGGCGCGACCGCGACCAAATTCTGGGCAGAAAATTGCTCCTTCTTCTTTCGGAAATAAATCGCTTATCATCATTCTATGTATTTTAAGTGACTTTAAAATCCTGTTAGAGGACTAATTTTCTTTTCTTTTGATGGGTAGATTGCCAAATAAAGGAGGTAAGAATTCAAAATATTTGTGATTTCCCTAGTTACGTGACCGAATACCGGGCGCGCTACCCTACTAATGATACTATTGATAGTGATAGTGATCAGGTGATAGTCTCAAATTTTTTCTGATCTGCAAATGAAATGAAATCTTGAATGATATTAACTTGACACTAGACTAGACTATGTCTATGTCAACAATATTTACCACCATCATTTCCACCACCACCAGCACCACCATCATCATCAATTACTTCTTCGTTCATTGGCTCAATGCACAAAAGACATCGCCATAATTAATGCTTCTTCCATCTTGAATCATATACATACACACGGAACAGTAGCTGGGACTACATATTTGATATTGAGGCCAATTCGAAAGTAGGTCAGTCAATTTTTGCCATGTTTGCACAACCCTATCAAGATAAAAACTTCTCTGTTATCTATATGGAACTTTTAGAGACTTACCAAGGTTTGTCTGATCATATTGTTCACTTTATTCAACCCTTTCCTTCTAGTTCCTTTCCTTCTAGGTACTGACTGGCTTCGATGTGTCTCACTTCATAACATTTACTAGTCTGTTACATATATATACAAAGACACGTTTCCAGCTTAAATTATGGGCACAAATATTTTTATCATTTTTTTTTCCAGATGAAATAATTAATTCAAATAATGACTCAGTCAAGAACTGAAAAATATCTATATGTAGGTAAATTAATCTTTTATAATACGCTGATTAATTTTTAAATTCCTAAGTATCCTAATTGAATGACAAGGTTATTATTAAGACTGAATATAAAGACTAGTCGATGTGTACATGTTGCGTCTAATAACACATGCACGTTTCATCACAGTTTGATTTCAGAACGATATAGAGTACCGAAGCTGTGACGTCATAAAAATCTATTTTTAGAATTTCTCAATATTTTCTTCATATTCCGAAAGAACATCAAAAATAATGTCCAAATGTCGAAAACCAATTGAATATGTTAAGTATTGGCTAAGATATGACCATCTGAATAAATATACTCCCCATAGGAACTCAGTGTTATATGCTCTGGCTCCTAATGGTTAGGAGCCAGAGCATATAACACTGAGTTCCCATAGGACATATATTCATTCAGATGGTCATATCGCAGCCAATAGTTAACATATTCAATTGGTTGTCGACATTTGGACATTATTTTTGATGTTCTTTCGGAATATGAAGAAAAAATTGAGAAATTCTAAAAATAGATTTTTGATGACGTCACACTTCACCACTCTCATTTTAAAGGGGCAAGGGAGGGGCACTTTAATTTTCAAAGACTAAAATATGCCTAATTAAACTGTTTCATTGTTACACTAGATATTGACGCCTTGGGTCTTTACACATATAGCCATGTTTTGATATCGAGTTCCTCCTGAGAATAATAGGTCATTTCACCTATTGTAAAGGATGATTCATTTTCTGAAGTCATTGAAATATAGTAGCATTATATACAGTGATTTATTAAATGTGAACGAGAGGGGCGAAGGTGACGGAAGTAACTACCCCCTCACAGGTGTTTAAAGTTTGTTGTACTAGAAAATTACATTCCTCAGCAAAACTGTAGTATAAAAACAAGCAATATACCTTTTTTCAAACTTAAATTTTACTTTGCCGGTAATTAGTGTGCATTCCGAATGGTTGTAAATATTTAGTAGATACATTTTAGTAAGTAGGGAGCTTGGCCATGGATGGGATTTCAGAATGTGAGTGAAACATTAAAGTGATGACCTTGACATAATGTTTTTAGAAAGATGTACACCTTTCCCCTTAGGCGAAAATATATGTAAAACTATACAATGTGAAAAGGTTGGGCAATTTTTTTTCAACAATTTGCCCAACGTTGTGCCAATAGTCAACCCAACCATCTTTTGTGTAATATTTTGCCCAGTGGTATTGGTAAACGTAAGTACCCTACTTCACATGTACACAATTGTTTTGTATTTTGACCAAAATTTGGGCAGAAATATGACCTTTAACAACTGCCCGATTACGGTAGCCTATACTTGTTGGGAAAATCTTGACCAACTGTTGGAAAAAATACGAAAATATTGCCCAATAGACGGTTGGGTTGACTATTGGCAAAGTGTTGGAAAATATTGCCCAACCTTTTCACAGTGCAGGGAGGGACTCCTTAAAAAAGCAAGCGAAATAATCATTTGTGTATAGCACTGATCTATTTCTACTCTTAGTCTTGTAAACTGTGCTTACGTGATACCAAAAGAATAGAGATTTTCTACAATATTTACCTGTACGTATTTTGTTAGAGGCGTATAGTCCCGCCCCCCCCCCCCCCCCACTCAGAGGTCGGAATGACCGCATGCGTGTTGCCAAAATGTCCGGTAAAGGGGTACTTTTCGTGCGACAAAGTCCGGCCCGAGAATTGTAAAAAAGGGGGTGTTTTTCTTTTTTTCTCTCATCTCTTTGGACTCCTGAGAAATTATTCCGAATTTAGGGGGGTACATTGAGCATTTTTCCTGATTTAGGGGGGTCTCCAAAGCAGGAAAAGCCCGCGAAAAGCCCGCGAAAGGGGGGTTCGGGAATGTTGGCAGTCCTCAGATAGGGGGTGCTTTCAAAAATAGGGTACGAGCATATGCGTACCCTAAATAACACTGAGTGGGGGGGGGGGCGGGCGTATAGTGGTCGAGTGAATATATGTCACCGGACTGTGGATCACAAGATCAGCGGTTCGAGTCCCGTCGCCCGCGGCACTAATATCCTTTGTAAGACATTAATCTACATTTGCCACTTTCGACCCAGGCGAGGTAAATGGGTACCTGGCAGGGATGAATTCCTTGAAATGCTAGAGCACCGTAATGACAGCCATAACTTAAAGCCGTGGTAATAATTTCCAGAACTCTTTGGAAGCGCATAGAGACGTTATAATGTGATATGCGCTTTACAAGTACCGAATATTATCATTATTATTATATGATTGATCGAGGTGGGCTATAGCATTTCTGATTGTATTATGCTAAACAAATAGCTCGCAGAACATAACATCAGATACGCTTCATCAGATATGCCCAATTATCCTTTACATCAAATATAATATTGACTTTATCTATTGATTTTTTTTAGCGTTGTCTTCATGTTCATTGTGAAGGAGGACCTGGAGAGCTTGATATGTGAGAAAACTTAACGCAGCTTTGCAGTCTTTCTTCAAGACTTTCTTTCTACGAAAGGATTGGGCCCTATTGTATGGTTGGAATCCTTGTTTTGGTATCTGATTGATATACATTGGTACTTCCGAACAATCCTTCGAGCAAGCTTGTTTACAGATCCTTCAAGATTCATAATGTCTTTTGATTTTGTAGAGGGAGTGATATTTAGCTTGGCATTATGTTCTATAAGCTCATGACAATAGTTACTGTTTCAAGCACAATGTATATAGCAACATGTTCGGTCCTTTCTGAATCTTCCCGTCCAATTTTGTCCAAAAACGCCTGTCAGTTCATCGTTCTTGGAAACGTGTTTTCGATGCACATCGCCCAATAAAATATGTTCAGACATGTAGTAAAAATGTTGGGGTCGTCTTTTCTCTTTTCTCTATTTGTAACCTACTTCAAAAACAATTTTCTACGCTCTGTCAGGGATGATGAAGTTGCCTGACTTTCAATGTGCTTCACATCAGCAACCTTACATTATTTTGTTAGTTAATTTGTTATGATTATCTCCCCATCCCCATATATTATATCTACCTATATCCAGTAAGTCCACCAAGCATAAATTATACCACCGGAGCTATATGAGGGTGAGGAAGAAGGGGGGGGGGGGGAGGGAGAGAGAGAGAGAGAGAAAGGAATAGAGAAAGGGAGTACAACATAATTATGCGTGTGTATGATAAAGAGAGAAAATGGTTGGATAAAAAGTGACAGAGAGACAGAAAGAAAGAGAGAGAGAGAGGGAGAAACATAACAGATGCTGATTTTTGTCATAGGAATGTTATCAGAAACGTTGTAATGGAGGGAAATGGAAGAATATTAATGTATCTTCCTTCTCAAAATGTACTTTTTATGTCCTTTAGTTCTATTACAAATGTTGTTCTAGTTGCAATTACGCTGGCCGCCATTGTTTTATACCAACTAATCCCCTGGTTGACATCTTAATTCATTTGGTGGTTTTCCATTTAACAGATGTTTAGTAACTGCTGCGCAAAAGAAAATGACAGTTCCATTGGTTTCAGATAATTTTCCAAGCTTGTTTTCTTACACCATCGCTGGCCATATCCATACTACCAATTAAATGTAAGTACATTTTTAATTATAATTGTTATTATTATTATTTATTCGGCAGAATCAAAGAAAATCATTGTTAATTCTTATCAAGTTGTGTATATACTTGGTTGAATATAATTGTTTAACAGTAGTAGCTTATGTTACAAAACGAGAAGATTCTAGTAAATCTTAAACTATTTTTTATATAAAAGTTGAAAATTGTCACGAATTCGCTATATCGACTTGTTTTCTTCGTTTTTCCAAATACAATAACTAAAGGAGAAAAAAAAATGCAAACTTAAGGTATAATACAAATGTGCAAACAATAATAACTTCATGTCAAAATGTGATTCACATAGGTCTATTATGATGATGAACTTAATATATCTATAATTATATAGTATTATGAATTTTAAGTATGACCCTAGCCAGGGACGTAGCCAGGGACGTAGCCAGAGTTTGATGTTGGAGGGGGGGGGGGGGGGGGGGGGCACATACATGTAATCTATCGACGTCCTGGGGAGGGGTCTAAAAAAGTTCAACCGATCTTGGACATTTTTGGGGGCACATGTCCCCCCCTCCCGCGCCCCCCCCCCCACCCCCGTGGCTACGTGCCTGACCCTAGCTATGTGTGGAAAAGTGCAGGAGACCGCCATCATAAGCGACGCTTGATTAGGATGGCGGCCTCCAAAATACAATTTTGAAGGTGCAATTTAATTGAAAAACGAAACAAAAAAATTGTGTGTGTGTGTGTGTGTGCGTGTGTGTGTGTGTGTGTGAGAGAGAGAGAGAGAGAGAGAGAGAAAGAGAGAGAGAGAACGATGACATCCATTATTCTACCAAAGCAAGAGCATCCAAGCGTGATGCATTATTGGAATTAAATTATATACAAGTACGCATGAAATATTCAAACCTTTTTTCATGCCGGAAATATTCATGAAATTGATGTTATGAAGTTCGATATTACATTTTCTGACAGTGCATAACGGTCTGGTGTTTTTCATGCGTCTCAATTTATCCAGGTTATTTCTATGGTAACGTGCATTTAAACAACACAAATGATTGACGCTATCAATATCTATCCCTTGATACTATCCCAGAATTTCGATCCACTCAATACGTTTCTAAGTTAATGTGTGTTTTACCAGATCAAAAAATGCAACTCCACCCCTCTTAACATTATTGGCGCTGATAGGTCATCCAAACAAGCTGTCTCAGAATTTTCTATCCAATTTTAGCTTGTTATTATAAGCGTGTCTTGTATTTTCACAAACAAAATTATGTACGTCCCAATCCTCAAATTAAATTCTTAGGCGCTGATGAAATTT